GTTTTCTGTTCTAAGTCACATGTGCTGAAGGTGTATATTTTCCTAAAGGCACACTAGAAAGTAAGTTGGTTTCCTTTTTCAATCCCTATGTTATGTGGTAAAAAAATGAGTGAAAACTCAATATGTCTAGCTTGTTCAATGTGATAGTTGAGTTTTTCGCTTAATAAATTGTGAAAGCCTCACAATGCCAATAGATTTCATTTTTTATCATACCAGTCCTGTGCAAAGCTTTTGACACTTACATTCAGATAAAGTCGGTTTTCGAGACTTGCAATAACTCTTAACTAAGAGTTTTAGTCACGCTGTCACAAAATGTGATCAAGGACAGCTAATTGAATTTTACCACGTCTCCATAGCCTTGCTTCCCAAAATGTATTCTCTTCTTGGCTGGACTGTACTTGACTGCGGTCTTAATCTTGCCTGAACAGGTCTAATCAGATGCCCCAGTCGACATGAAATTTTTTTTTCGTGGCTACCAGTAAATCAGTTATAAAATGTATTCACCCAATTTCGTTTTTTAAGGTGATGAAGGACTGGTAGAAGTAGAATTTTACCACAAATGATATGAGTTGAGCTGACGTTTTCATTGAATTTTACATAGCTTTGTTTTCCCAAAAGTTGTTCTCATCCAGGCACCAGTGGACTGCAGTTTCGACCTCGCATCAACTGGTCTTATCAACACCCTCAGCGCGATTCGAACCGAGGGAAAGCAAAGCGATGTAAAATTCAATGGAAATGTCAGCTCAACTCATATCATTTGTGGGAAAATTCTACTTCTACCAGTCCATCATCACCTTAACCGAAATTGGGTGAATACATGTTATATTGAGATTATACGTTGAACCGGACGGGTTCAATTTCCTTTGGGGGCTCTGAAAAGATACCTGGTCAGGTCGAACCTGCATTCCGACCTGGTTGTCAATGCGTTTTCCAGCCGCAGCAGCCCGACTGAGGCCCAAGCAAAAGTCAGATCGAGAGACCAGTTTCTCGAGTAGAATTGTGTTTCACATCATCCCACTGACCCACCCGTTGCAGCAGGCCCTCGCTTTAGGCCCACGTTGCCCACCTAAACCCCGTTCGATGCGCCTCGGCCATTCACTCATGTTTGGCATTGTTGACGAACTGCCACAGTCCAGCTGGAATCGCTCCCTCTCTCAAAGTATATCCGGTTTATCCATGAAGTACACGCCTGAATACACACATACACACATGTGTGTATGTGTATACGTGTATGCGTTTATATACACACACGCACACAAATACTGCTAAACAAATGTTGCCTATTCGTGCAACAGGACTTTCGTACATGTTTGGGCTCAACCAGGCGCGCTTGTATAAATAGAATCAGTGGTACAAATGAAATATGTAAACTTGGAAAGCACATGACTAGAAGGGTCGCCTACATGTCAGTTGCGTTGGCACCTTGTACCCGAAATGTGCCGTTTTGCGAGTCCCGAGTCCCGAGTCCCGAGTCCCATAGACCCGTCAAGTCTAAGCTATTGTCCGCCCATTCATGTTTATGCTTTTGGTGCTGCTGCCTGTCCCATCTGCATTCGGCCAATCGGCTCAAAATGATCCGACTCGAATGGTATTACGTGACTCATCTTTGCTCGGTATGTGGGCCCACCAACAACCTGTCCACCCCAGCCTCAGGTCATAGTTGTCCCACCCGCCGGCCAGCCGAC